ATTATCATACTACTTGCACATTCTTCATCAATTGTGGATGAGAACTTGACTTTGCAGATCGCGTTCACTAAACTGCTTTTCTTCTCTCTGGTGAGTAATTTGGCATTTACAATTTCTATCTGTCGATATTTTTAGACTATAGTTGCCGTGCATACTTGCAATTTAGCAGCGCGATTGTCGTTGCGATCGTCACGCGACCATCGCCTGAGTTTCGAGCCTGCTTAAAATTTAGCTGCATCTTTGTGGCGATGTTCGATCGCCGCAACAAAAGCAAGGCTGTATGTTTGCAATGTTTATTTGAACTGCGCGATAGCAATTTGGCGATCATCTCGCGACAATCGCGCTGTAAAAATCGCAAACGTAAACAAGACTTTATAAATTACTACATGCAAAGTAGAAAGTGTACAATTGCTACGCTTTTTTTTCACTAACTTCATATACCTACTGGGCCTGGTCAGAATAGCTACATAATTGCAACTTTCTCTGTCAACGTTCTCAAGAGTGTGTCCCCGCGCGAGAAAACTAGGTAGTGGGTAGAGTGGGTGCTGCGTGTGCCGGTTTTACAGATTTCGCTGAACTTCTGAACTTCGATTTTAGTATAGTTGAAAGCCTTAGAAATTTTAGAAAACTCTCCGCAAAAGTCATTTTTGTTTAGACAGAAAGCAACCAAAGAACCGTTCAAAAGTTCATGTATTTGAAATGGGTTTTACGTCCAAGAGAGATTGAAAGTATCTGGTTTACATCGTCCGAAAGCCGTATAAATAGATTTTAGTTTGTTAATAATCCGGTACCACTAGATGATTCATATTGTATTGTTTATAGATCGTTTCAAGTTGTGGTCTATCATACGTTGTTTTATAATGCCTTTACACATTGTAATTTGTGCTTTGGTGCTTCCAAAGAGAATATTAATATTGATTTTAATAATAATAATCTTTATTATTTCTCAAGATAAAAGACATATCTTACGTTACAATATAATATTAATAGATACAATAAATATTGTAGCACCCAGCTAAGAAATTGATATTAGAAATTACAATTTATGTATTATATAACGTCGTACTTCAAAGTTAATCTATTTACAAACGAGTTCTTAAATCTTTCAGTATATATACTTTACGATGTCAACTGCTTCTTTTTCTAAGATTGAAAGTCGTTACTTTTACACTGGGTAAAATGCTATTTTACGGTTGAGATTGGTCTATCTTACATTTATTTGAAATATTCATATTTATATTAATTCTTTAAAATACTTCTAATATTTATTTTAGTGGAAATGTATTCTTCACTTACTGTTTTCTATATAATGCTCCTTGTATCTTATTTGGAATTATCGGTCAATCCGTATGGAAAAAGTCGATGATTTCCCTAAAGGCACTCTTGCTTCTGTGATAACATTCATCAACCAAAATAAAGGATATTCAAATTGGATTTTTTGAGGCCCATGTAAACTCTGTTCTGCTTGTGTTTGTATTTGTGTTTGTGATCATAAATAATTTCATAACTCCCTAGATGAGCCATTTCAACTCTTAGCAGGAACGTCACATATCGTTTAATGCAAAAATATTATTGCCCTATATGTCGTTTCGCTAAATAAGATTGAGCAACAAACTACGTGATAGTTTCATAGATACGTTAAATATCTCAGTAAAAACTTTTGATAAGAAATTGGACGCCTCAAAGATTAGTACTGACTATTTATGGATTTCGTTCAGGAGGTTTTAGATCCATGATTTCCCGCCATTTTTTGATAAACAGGAGTGAAATAATAATTGTGATGACGACTTTGGGACCAAAATAGAAATAGCAGAAAACATTCATTTAAAAGAAATGATTCTCAAAAGAGAATTGCCAGGTCGATGATACTGAATTAGATACCAATTTAAAACATTAAAAGCTTGAGAACGGCCAAACTAAAACTTTGCAACATAAATATACCGCTAAATACTGCTAATTATAAAATTTTCGATATATAACGCACGCTTTGATTGGCTGACGACCGTGTTTATATCAGAGGACAGAGACACGGCTTACCGGCAAAATTTGCTTTTCGCTCGAAAAATTTTATAAAAGAAATATAAAGCGGCCGCTTGTTTCTGTGTCCTCTGATATAAACACGGTGGGAGTTGAAAAACACTCGAGAAGCAAAAGAAACACTCGCTACGCTCGTGTTCCTAAGCTTGCTTCTCTAGCTCGTGTTTTTTGAACTCCCACCGTGTTTATATCAGAGGACAGAGACACGTGCGTCGTTTTATATTTCTTAAATTATGCTAATTCTATTGTTTTCTATTGTTTAATTAGCAATATTTTGTAGTAAATAGTGCAAAGTGAGCCAACGGGTTCTGTCCCTTTATATTACTGTTCTTGTACGAATTTTGTCCTGGGAAAGGGATTTTGAAGCTACTTGTTGACAATCACACAATGCTCTTATCCAGAAATACCTTGAATTCGTAACTTACTTCCTGATAGTATCAGGAAAATATAAGATATACAGCCTCACGAATAGCATTAAAAACCGATAATTGACTCAAAAAGGCCTAAAACTGTTTCACTGATCGAAATTCTCCCC